CCCAATTGAAACGTGCGGCGAGATCGATCGATCGTTACAACTCTCTGCGCGCCTAGTAACGATCGATCGATCTCGCCGCACGTTTCAATTGGGCAGTGGGCCGGCCTAAAACAGCGATTTTTAATAATTAATAACTCGCTGACTTTTGCGAAAATTGCAAAATGGTAGAGGACTTTTCGACTTAAGTCAACGGCACACGATACTATTTTTCCTACTGGATTGCTTACGAGAGCCAATCAGAATGCAGAATTTTCGATCAAGTGACTCAAAACTGAATCCTGATTGGCTCTCGTAAGCAATCCAGTAGGAAAAATAGTACCGTGTGCCGTTGGCTTTAGTCTAGTCCACTCTATCTCACAATAAGCGTTGATGCGGGTATTACATAACACCCTGTATACTGAAGATGGTCCAGTTAGAACCGAAACATCTATTTACTGCCTATTTTAATTAAAACATTTTTGACGCCACAGTCTTGTCTAGGCTCTGAACCCCTTCTATTTTCAATTGGAAAATTGAGTGTTAGATCGTGTCATCGTTGCGAAAAAAAATTTGTGATTGAATTTGGACCCTAAAGACCTGCTATCTCGTATTAGAATTCTATCTCATGATAGAGGACTTTCCTCTGTGTTCTCAGGTTCTGCAAAATCTTATGGTTCGAACAATGCCAAAATGATTTCTTAGAACATTAGCTCCCGATAGAGATTTTGTATTATTGTTTTTATACAATGATTTATCTATTTCAGTTTTATAAGTTAAGTTTTAAAAAGTTCTTTTTTACATGCATGTGTATTTAAATCTACAAAGGTTTATATTTCAAAATCTTTTAAATGTATTATTATATTTTCTTAAATTATATAGAGGATGCCTTCGAATTGATGATACAAGGGGGGAGAGGGTGATCGTTCATGAAAAAATAAGTCGAAAATGTAGAATTTTTTTTTTGGTACGAGACTTCGCTTTCAAGAAAAACGACTTTAAATATTCGTCAAGCATCCGTGCTATGTCTGGTCTCGATCCGAGCTTACTATATTTACCTCTACTCGCATTTGTATTTGCAAGCATCAACAGTAAAATTTTTTATATTGGACTTGGTAGTTTACTTTTACCGATAATAATTCCGCGATGAATTTCAGTTTTCTTCATTCTTTCAGTATACATATGTGACAATCGGGAATACGATTCCTGCGCTAGGCACTTGTGATAGTAATGTTTCCGCTGCTAAATCCAATATCCTAATCATCGACAATCAAATAGGTGGATGACACATCTGACGAATATTGAAAGTTGTTTTTCTCAAAAACAAAACCTCGTACAGGAAAATGTTATTCTATATTTTCAACTTATCTCTTATGTAGAATCTTCTTTCCGTTTATGCCACCACTTCCATGTATATGTATACAGTGGCTAGCTAATTATTTACAATAAAGAAATCCCTCGATTTCGAAAATTATTGCTTTTTAATTTTCACTTAATTGTTATGCACGTTATGTTCAATAAGCTTCTTACTCGAAGAAGCTTTAGATATTATAGGTTTATAAATTTATTATTTTGTCATTTTGAACTTTCTCTCAATAAAGATTAAACTTATATATTTTACCACTGCGAATTTGTGCACATTTTTTTCGTTAAAAAAAGAATGATTCTTCGTTCTCTAA